AACAATGCCCCCCCCCTCCCAGCTGTCAGCCATACTCCGTAAACCGATTAAGCCAGTGAAAATGGGTTGAAGGTGGGATTAAGCATTCCGAAAGCATGCGCATTTTGAGGCACCAAACAACTGAGAATACGACAAAGGCGAGGTTCGTCCATGGCTTTTGTCCCCGTTCTCAGTCACAATGATCCAATTAAGGGTCCACTGCGTCCACGCCTCAACTCTATAGGGTCTAGGCCACGACCTGGCTCAGCGAAAAAAAAAAAAATAACAGGAAAGATCTAGTGAAGAAAAAGAAAAGAAGAAAGGAGGGAAAAATAAATAAAACGTTTCACGAGTGGTATTGAAGGGGTTCTAGGTCACACTTGCATTCTTGACACGGTCAAATGTTCAGTATTTTGGGGTGCCCCAGTGAAACAAGTCCAACTGGATTCACTGAGTTTTGTTCGTATACGAGACCACGAAAACTAGTCGCAAAACCTCTTGCACTGTCACAACAGCATTAGCCGATTAGTGGTCTAAGTACCTGGCGAGAGGGTACGGGGAAGTCCCTGATTCAGTATTTTATCTCATCCCTCTGTGGATTTCTTACGTGCAGGGGTAGGAAGAAGGTCATGACCACGACACTCGTCACTGGTATAATTATGAAATTTCACCAGGTGGCTGTTTCTTCTTTATTCGTTGTTCTGGTATCACCCCTGAAGGGGTGTGAACAATAACGTGAAAACTGAACAGCTCTGACCCTTTTGCTAACTCTGGATCTTTACGCGCTAGTGAAACCGATGCTAATATTGGCCCAGACGATTATGGAACATTTAATGCAGTTTGTTTTAATGGGGCGAGTGGGGTTGATTATAGATCTCAATTTTTAAGCCTTTAAGGATATCCGAGTATCTTTTATAGTTTGGTACAGATTACTCTATAAATTCAGCCATTTTCAATCGGCAAATTTGTGAATTAAGTTGCGTGAGTAAAATTTGAAAAGATCATGCAGAGAATTATTAGTTTTTTAAACATTCGTTGTTTATGAATAAATAATTGAAATTGTTTACAACCGTTTTTTTTAGACATGAAATCGATTTCTGGTAAAATTCTGAATGTGAATGAATTTGTTACGATTTTTAATAAATGATTTTTATGGCGGAAAATTGATCGTTTATAGATTATTTATTAAAAATGCACGTTATTTTCAAAAATTTCTATTTTTAAATAACTTTATCAATGTTCCTCCAAAAGTAAATTTTCTCATTTTTTTTCAGATTTTAAAAATGTTTTTTAAAGGTTCAATATCGAGATTCAAATTCAGACCTGCAAAGATTAAATAACAAAATAAAAGATATCCTTAAATTTTCAATTATGTGAAAATTCAAGTAGGCTCGGGAATTCTTGTCTTCTTGCTTCTTAAAAATTTGAAACTTCGTTGAATTTTCAGTGAATGTCGAAATTTAATTATTTATTTCCTTCTGAATGAAATTCAATATCATTCTTCTGAAAATTACTAGTCAACTGTCCATAGAATTTCAATTTTTTTCTGACAGTTTAATTCACAAAGTTCAATTTCCATTTGGAAATTCTTTTTTCGTTGAAATTCTTGCAATCAAACATAGGCAATTCTCGTTGAATTCATATTTAATTAATAAAAAAATTCATATTTGAAATGAATTCATATCAGAAATGAATCTGAAATTCATATTTCAATGGAAATGGTTTCGACACATTTTACAATGATTTTAGTAATTAAAACTTGACGATCTAAATTTAATGCTTCATTAAAAACCATCAGAAAATATCGAAATTTTTTCAAATCCGAATAATAGAAAGGCTGCCCTCGAAGAAACTTTTATAAATGAATAAAAAAAATTGCCATTTTCAAAACTAATTATTTTTCCAAAATCGTAAAAAATTCGTTCCAATTCAAAATTTTAACTGGAACTAATTCCATTTCAAAGACAACAGTTTCCGAATCCCAAACAATTTTAATGATTTATCTGCAAAAAGCAAATGGCCAAAAACTTCAAATTGTCTGCAAAACGTAATTTAAATGCCCGAACCTCTTCAAAATTCTCTCCCGCAACTAAACCACCAACCACCAAATATCATTTAATCATCAAATCAGCAATTTCCTCAACAAATTTATCCCGAAACCTGCGAAATTATTTCAACAACCTTGCTCCCCAATTTCCCCAAATAAACTTCCCCAAAAACATTACCATTCTCGAACCCCAAATAGCCCATAATTCCCCACTTTACGACACCCTGTTCCCCCATCCCCACGAAATCTCCCGAAGAATCCCATCTCGCGTGTGGAATCGATGCCTCATATCAACAGACCCCCATTTATTGAACCATCAGTCCTCGCCAGTCGTTAAATCCCGAAATTCCCCGGAAAGATCCAGTGCCAGCATTTCCCACCCTTGAGCCCCTGCCCCCCAACATCCGCATGACTTCCTCCCCCTGCCCTCAGTCCCATCGATTGATCGCGCCTGCTCAGTGTCCCCAGCCCCAATGTTTACGTCTTCAACAGTCCAACCTCACCCCCAAGATCTCAAGACCACCAACTCCCCGGAAAACCCCATCAATTAAAAAGAAAACGTCTCCCCCAGTCTCTCCGAATCAATAACCCCTGTAAAAAGATCCTCAAAAACCCTCGGAAAAATCCCCCAGAAGATGACGCGACAGCCACCACCCGCAGCAAAAAAAAAGCCGTTGCATAAGAGCCCTTGGACCCCAGCCCAAAATGTCCAAACTATAATGCAGATGTCTAGACCAACTAAACCTCATTGAAATGGTGTGTTAAAAATTTTTTGCAGATCAGTCTCGTCGTACAGCGACACAAGCTCAGTCGTCTCCCTGTCGACAAACAGTATTCCAAAGTACTCATCAACTGGTAATTCATCAGCCTCATCAACAGTCTCATCAGCATCGAGTACACGTGAGCGGACGACAACCCCAACATCGAAATTAACACTTGACGAATTGTACCAGAAATACTCGGTGATAAATTACGTACCAAATAAGCATAATCGTGAGACAACACCAGTTAATGGCCACTGTAGAGGATCGTACACACCATTATCAGCTGAGCTTTACGGTGGTGATGAGAGGGACTCGATACACAGTGACAGATGGTCAACGAGACAGGCTAAACGTCGTAGTACACCACTGAGCAGTGGATTGCCTGGTCGTGATGATGTTGATTATTCCAAGAGCCAGCACGAGGTAACAAAGAACCAACAGTGTAATGAACGTAGTGATATTAATCCATCGATTAATGAGAGTGATAGTAATGCTAATAACAATCATGGTGAGTTTAATGTTAATTGTAATGATGTGAAATTTGATGATAATCAAAAGCAAGAGATTTCCTCGTCTTCGTCGAGTTTGTTGTTGTCAACCAATGACTCGGGATGGTGTGGGTCTGAGTCAGCAGTGGCTGATACGAAAAATTTAACAGCTACTAATAATCGAGCTTGGAAAGACACGAATGATGAGGGTAATGTGCTGGTGACTAACAATAATGCACAAGAGTGTTGTAAACGATTGAACGAGGTGGATACGAGGGAGGGACGCAGGAGCCAGTGGACTGCTAATGGAATTGAGGGGGTGGGGGAGGGGGCCAATGGGGCGCAGGAGGAGGCTGTGAATTCTTGTGGGAGAAGTGGTGAGAACGGCTTCAGGGTGACTGGGAGACCGGCTGGGAGTCATGGGGAGGATTCCTCAAAACCGTCCACGTCTAGAAGGAATAATATTTTTGGATGGAATGATGGGCTTGGGGAGGAGGTTGGAGGGGGCAGCGGTGCCGGGAACGGTGGCCCTGTTGGGGTGCATCAGGCGGTTTATCGGGGACTCGCTGATTCTATTGTGAGTATTTTTTTTTTTGGGTGAATGAGGAAGGCTTTATTGATTTATTATGGATTGGAGTCAGAGATAGGCATAATCATAAATTATCATTACCATTAATTTCATAAATACTCAATCAGGTAATAGAACTTAAAAAATTTCAATTATTAAATTAATCAACAATTGAATATTAAAATTTCGAATTATTTTACCAATCAATAATCGAATTCCGAAGAATGACGATTATTTGATAATCTCTAATATTTTTTAGGAAATTTCCAATTATTTACCTAATAGTTATTTGAAAAATTTGAATTCTCAATTATTTATTATTTTCTATGTTCCAATGATAAACGAATGAATTTGGTTTTTTGGGGGAAAAAATTCTCTTAATATTTCTGGAATAATGATTGATGCCGATCACTAATTGGAGTTTTATTTTGAGCGTAGTTTGGCTTTGTAGAGGAGAGTGGGGCTAAATGGAACAGTCGAAGAACGACTGTTTGACGCAATTCAAGCAAAACATTTTTTTATTGAGGGGTAACAGAATGCCGCTAATTTTCCAAATTTTTTGAACAAATTTCCTGCCGAAAGTTGGCAATATTTTTACAAATCGAAGCACGTTAATCTCCAGGAGGCGATGATGAAGATCAATGGGCTTTGGGTTAAAATAATATTAATAACTTTGAGCAGGAAGTTTGTTTGAAGATTTCGAGGAATTGGTGGGCTTCTGTTGCCCCTTAAAGTAGCTCTACCCTTCGGCCGGGCTACGCTGTACTTTTGGATATTTTCAGTTTTTAAATTTTTCAACTAAATTGCGTGGAAAAAATTTGAAAAAATTTATACACAGTCAGTATTATCTAAATTATATTTCGCAAAATATTGATATTTTTCAAACATTTCTCCCTTATAAATAAATAATAAAATTTGCAAAACGGTGGATTATTTTTTATGAGGTGTCAAAAAAATTCTTGATTTTTTCACATCTAACGAAAAAAAATTCAGATTTTAATCTTTGATTACAATGGAAATGTTGATTTTCACATAAGACACTGGCTTAAATCCTGACTTTTAAACATTTCTTCAGTTAATGAACAAAAAAAACAGTTAATGCACAAAAGTTGAAAAAAAAAAAGTTATTTTTTGCTTGAATTGAGTCAAATAGTTATTTTTCTGCTTTTTCATTTTGCCTTACTCTCCCCTATGAATTTTGGAATTGAGGGGAGGTGAAGATTTTTTATAGGGACTTTTTTTAGAGCGTAATGAGAGGAGCGTAATGAGGTTCTTTCCTCCCTCTCACCAATTAATTATGAATAGTAAAACGTAATTTGTAGGGTGTTATCACTTTTTTATAAAATTGTGGAAATATCTTCGACTTGAGTGGTTTTATAAAAAAATGTGGAAGGATTTTTCTTGTAGTTGCTGAAATTCTCAGAGCTTTTGACGTTTTTCTGTGAATCGACTGGTCCTCGAGATGTTTTGACGGTTCAAGGTTGATATGGAAATTTTGTTATCGAATTTAGATTCAAAGATATTCATCAAAACCTCAGGTTGAGCTAGAATTAATCTTGTATTCAAAAAAGTTGGAAGACAAAAACAACTCTAGAAAATTCAGTCTGAATTCATTTGTATTGTTTATCAGCTTTTTTTAAAGAGAATTTCACCAGCTACAAAAAAAATTCTATAAAAATGTTCTCCCTCAGAAGCCAAGTTATTTACCAAAACCTCAATCTGAAGCGAAATTCATCTGCGCTGTTTTCCCACTCTGCTACACAATTGTGCAAATATCTCGAGAACAGCGAATTTCAGAAAAAAATATCAAGAAACCTTTTTCGTAGCTTATGAAATTTCCTACAAATAATTCCTACTCACATTTTCTCATCCATCCCTTCATTCTTGAGATATTCGCAATATTAGAAAAAGCTTCGTATCTGATTTGCGTCGTAGAACTTTATTATATAGAGTTCGTCGATTAATTCGAGTTCATTTGTTCATTTGATTAGGCTGAAGACTATTCTTGCTGGTGTGAAAGTGACTGATAGATTATCGATGAAATTTTTTCATCATAAACACTTGTAATGCCCATCAACTAAAAATTATCTTTTCATTTTGACAACCAAACCCCCGCCCAATTACTCATTTTGGCAGTGGTCACAGTTTTGTTATTGAGCAATAAGCCAGGTCGACATTTAACGTCGGCAGTGGGCTTGAATAATCGGTCCTCGGTGGTACCCGATTACATTTTCGAGGTCTGAGACGAAAGCAGTTGGAATTATAAAGGGATAATGGTCTCAGCTGTCGATACGATATTTTTGGTCAGTGGCACGTGGATTATCAATAATTTAGAATCAAAAATGTTTCATAAAACGATTGCTTTGAGTTTTGTGGATATTAAATACTGCGACGAAGACAAAAGTTGAGTTTTCCTCGGATTTCTGTGGCGAGTTTTTTTTTTCAATTCATCGCTTGGAATTTGTGTTTTTGCCTGTGATAAAACATGCTGAGGATGACAACCATGACCGATATTTCGTCTATGTTTAGCCCCTGGTGTTGGTTGAAATCGTGAGTATTCTCTCGCAGGAGAAAAAATCGAGGGGAACCAGAGACATTTAGAGCCACCAAAGGTGAAAATTCATCTAGAACTTTTATTCAAACGTTTCGAAATCCCAGTCTAACTCTCTAAGCTCAAACATTTCGGCGGTTTTTATTAATAGAATACGACGGTATCCCAGTAGAACACTCTCACTCAGTTTCAACCGATCGTTTTTCACGTTTGCTTCAACTCCAAAAAGCTATGTACAAAATCCATCGATTCCTCGTTTAAAGTTTTCACTGTTAATTTCGTCGGATTTTCGCTAGGAATGGGGGGGAATTTTTTAGGGGATAAGTGTGATAGATCGACGTGAACTCTTTGATATTATGCCGCCATCTGGCGATACACTCGGGACCGTTGTATTGCAAGTTATTTTTCACGTAAACTGGCTCTTGTTCAAGTAATAAACTGGTGCCTGTGGTCTGCGTGGACTGCAGCGGCCCTTGGTTTTGGTATTGCATTTTTTCTCGGCATTGTTACACCTCTTAATAACCCTAAACGGCATGATACAAGATCACACTATGTAGTCGCTATCTCGAGGACTGTGGTGAGGGTCAAGGTGAGTGGAGTTGGTTCAGTTTTTCGGAAAGATTTACACTGTTGAAAAAATTTTGATGACATTTCGGGTGCAGTTTTTGGAGATTTTTATCATTTAGTTGTAACTGGAATTGTAAAGAATCTCGTCAATGGAAACGATCAATTTTGGGGGAATTATTCCATGGAGTTTCAGAGAAATCAGGAAAATTCAGTTGAATGTATTCTTGGATTTTTAATTCATTAGTTAATTAATTAATTAAAATGACTAATGAATGAATGATTAGTGAATGGTTAATGGATTAATTAGTAGATTAATGGATTTTCAATTCATTATTTAATTTTAGGGCATTCTATGGAGTTTCAGAGAAATCAGGAAAATTCAGTTGAATACATTCTTGGATTTTTAATTCATTAGTTAATTAATTAATGGATTAATGAATTAAAATGACGTATGAATGAATGATTAATGAATGGTTAATGGATTAATTAGTTGATTAGTGGATTTTCAATTCATTATTCATGAATTGGAAATTCAGAATAATTTGATACTGAATATTGGAGTCTTTGAAAATTCAGCCAAATAGGAAAATTCTCGTCTTTGTGCTGCTAGGAAGTTTGGAATTTTGTGGAGTTTTCAGTGAAATTCCATTATTCCATGAAAATTTGTAGAAACCAGGAAAACTCAGATAAATATATTCTTGAACTATGAATTAGTTGAAAATTCAGCGTAATTTGGTAATGAATATTGAAGTGTTCTCTCTACTCGTCTTCTTGCAGCTTGAAGCTTTGCAATATCATTACATGTTCAGTGAAATCGATAATGTTATTATTTTTTCCCCTGAATCGAAGTAACTCTCCTGAGAACTACCAGTGAAATTTCAAATTTTTTAAACAGTGTATACTAAAATGAGCCGCTTTTAATCATCAATAATTCGAGATCTTGAGAGCGCAATTCAATAATTTTTATTTTTGTTTTAAAGGTATTTTTTCACGCTTCAAAATGAGACCCGATTTATCCCAATCGCAACGTTTGATCGCGAGATATTGATAATATTTTTGTAAAATAGCATAAAATGAGTTCAATAGCTTAAAATGAGGTTTTTATTTTTGTTTCATTCGTTTTGTTTGCATCGGAGTGATGTAATTGTGTTTAACACGTGTGGTAATGACTAAGGGGAGCCGGAAGTGGAGGGGAGGAGTCCTTGCTGGGTGACCGGATGTGTGAATAGCGGAGTGATAGAGAAGATTGTTTAAATTTGTTTAATGATGATTTTGGTCTTGCAGGAGGAGAGCTCGACCAAACCAGCCAGAAGTAGAATCACTGGGAGGAGGGACGAGGGGTATGGGCTGAATGGATTGAGAAATATTGGAAACACCGTGAGTTGATTTTAAGGATATTAATTAGAGAATTGATCTGTTAATTTTATTTCCATTTCGTGAAATTAACAGAAAATTAACAAAACAAAATGAATGAATTGATCCATTTTGTTTCGTGAATTTTCAAAATTAATTCAATTATTTTAAGAAGTGATTTTATGAAAATCATTTCAAGAGATCTTTTTTCGAGAGAAATTTCATCGGTTGAAGACAGGTTTCTTGATATTTATCTCCAAATCTCGTAGTTTAGGCGATAAGTTGATTGATTGATTGAATTTCATTCATTTTGATTTATTAGGTATGGAATTATTCTGGTAATGAAAAGTCTCGAAACAAAATTTCAAAAGACCTTTTTCATGAAATTTCTTCAAATATAAAAAAGATCACTTGGTGATCAATTGATGAACTAATTCTGTTCAATTCTGAAACAACTTGATATGTTAACGCCTTTCGTTCTGTCAATTAACTAATTATCTCAATAACAAGTGACTCTAGGTGAAAAAGTGAAAAAGGCTTTTTTGTAGAGGATTTTATCAGTTACAAAAAAGTTCTTGTAACATTTTACTCTAAAACACTTTGTTTTGGAGATAAATCGATGAATTGATCAATGAATCCAGTTTGACTATGCCAGAATGTTTCAATTCATTTCTTTCGTTGAGTTAATTGTAGGATTATCTCGACTGACTCTCGCAGGAAATGCTGAGAGACATTTTTTAGTAAAAAATTCCACGGCTCCTCAAAAAAACTCAATTTTAATTAATTTTTTTATCGGTAATTTTAATCTATTTAATTGGTCAATCTATTCAATTGTCCAATGAGTTCCCTCAGATGCAACGAAATATAATATATTCAGTTATTTAACTCCACAAATCAATTATAGAATTGATGAATGGTTCCATGAGAAACTGAAATTGAAATAACTCTAATTGAAAATAATGTCACGACTTCGTAGGAGCACAAATTCCCTGAAAATAATCCCCTCAAAAGATCTTTCATCTTCTCAAACACAGGAAGTATCTCCTCCAGTATTTACTCTCCCCTCTATTTACAGTGTTTCATGAACAGCGTCATCCAATGCCTGAGCAACACTCGACCTCTCCTCGAGTATTTGCGAAACGAGCAGTACTTAAACGATATAAACACAACGACGTCCAGTATGAAAGGCGCCCTGATAAAATCCTTCGCCCAGGTCATCTATGAACTGTGGGAGGACAGTGGCGAGAGGGTTGTCAATACAACAGCACTCAAGAGCCAGATACAGAGATTTGCTCCAAGATTCATGGGCTATGCACAGCAGGACGCTCAAGAGTTCCTCAGGTATTTGCTGGAAGGTCTCCACGAGGATGTCAACAGAGTTACCATCAAGCCAACGCCGATATTGACTGACATACCGGATCACTACTCGTGAGTTTCAATTCTGCATTTTTATTCGTTTCTCAAAATCCATTAACCCAAGAAATTTTTTCTTTTTTTATTTTCAACTGGTGGAGAGAGTTATCTCCTCCATGTTTATGAGAATTTTAAACCATAAGTGTCATTCAGAAATTAAACAGACAATATGGGATTTACTTTTATCTATCATTCTCTTAATTTTTTCATTATCTTTTCTTGGATTTAGTAGATCGATTTCACACTGCTCTCTATCTCAATGTTTATTTTAGAAGTTTTCCAGTAGGTGAATTATCAATTTGGAAATTAATTCCATAAAAGCCCATCAATTGCATGAGAAAAATTTGAAAAGACTTCATGTCTAATCACTATCATCTAAATAACATTTTGCAAAATATTAATATTATTCCACCCATTCTCATAAATAAATAATGAAACTTACAGAAAACTTACAGAAAAGTCGAATATTTTTTATCAGATGTCAAAAAATTTATCGAATTCTCACTTTTGATGAAAAGGAAATTCAGCTTTCAGTCTTCATCTGTACTAACATTATTGATTTTCATGCAAGACGCTGGGTTAAACTTTTCAAATATTTTTTCTTAAGAAAACCAAAAGGATGATTAAATTACCACAAAAAAATTACGATTCCGAATCTAACTGAGTTTTCTGTGAATTCTTCTCACTTTGGAAAATAATGCTAAAGTAAAATAATGTTAGTTAATTTTAATTACCATGAATTTAATTTTCTCATGTTCCCCATTAATCTGAAAACTTATAATGAATAAATATCCAAAAGAAAAATGCCATTTCCCTTGAAATAAACTTGATAAATGCACCCAAGAATATTTTTAACTGTTTCATTGTCATTTTTAGAGAATTATTTTTGTGTTTAATGCATTTTGCGATGATTCAGGGACAGTCTCAAGGCGACCGAAAGCTGGAAACGCTACCTTCGCAGTGAGGACAGCACGATAGTGGACGTTTTCGTCGGACAATTGCGCTCCTCCTTGACCTGCACCTCCTGCGATCACGTATCCGTAACACTCGACCCATTCTGGGACCTCAGTCTCCCAATACCAGCGAGAACTGGCACTGTCAAGCTCAATCAGTGTCTGGAGCACTTCACCAAGGCCGAGGTGATGGATGGGGATGAGAAACCAACGTGTTCCAAGTGCCAGATGAGAAGAAAGTGCACCAAGAGCTTTGCAATCCAGAAGTTCCCGAAGATCCTTGTTATTCGTATCCTTTTCTACAACTTTTATAATTCATATTTAATATTATTATTTTTCAATCTCGTCAAGAGAAAATTATGTCAATTAATTTTAGCAGCTAGAACATGATTATCTTATTTCCTACACTGAGAGAAAAGCAAAGGTCTCAAACAAGTTTTACTTGTGCCAAGAATAGTTTCTTGAACATTATCAAAGAAGGAGTTTTTTGTGCCAAACGTGCAGAGAGTGCGCCGGAATGAAAAATTTTTGTCGCAAAAATAGATTTAGTAGTTAAAAAAAAATTGCATTCTCCGTACACGCAAGAAATGCCTACTCCTTCGTTATTCGATACTCCCATACGTATTTTGCTCCCGAAAAATCTTTGTTATCCGCCTCTTGATCCAAACATTTCGTTGCTATCGAAAACAACAATTATTCATGTTTGAGTCTTTCAAATTCGAACCAAACAAATTCTTTTTTGGCAATTTTCAACTAGCGTTTTTGTTTGCCCAAACAAGACTTGTTTGACAACGTGTTTGTTTTTCTCTGTGTAGAGAAAAAAGTATACAATGAAAAGGGAAAAATACACTTTGAAGGGGTTAATTTTTCCCAACAATTTTGTGAAATCAATTCTGTATGAAATATCAATATCTCAATGTCTCGATGTTCCTTAACAAAATGACAAAAAGATTTGAAGAGGTTCTCACCAACCGAGAGATTCCGTGCGAAACTAAGTGTCCTAGTTGACTTTCCCCTGACAGGCTTGGATCTCAGTGCCTTTGCTGCCCCAGATGTACAGGGCTGCACCTACAATCTGTACGGTGTTGCTAATCACTCTGGTACACCGTACTCTGGCCACTATACTGCCTACTGTAAGCATCCATACTCAGGCGAGTGGCACGAGTATAATGACAGTCGTATATCACCAGTATCAGTCAGTTCGGTTATATCTAGTGAAGCCTATGTACTATTCTACGAGCAACAGCAGCCCAATCCACATTTGTAACCAAACGCCACACATAGTTGTATGTAAAAAAGAAGAAAAAAAGAGAAAAATGATAAATTTACGAATAAAAAATAACGAAGGAACCAGCATTGCCTAGTGGAGTTGGGGAGGGTGGGGCAAAATGGACACTAGAATTTTATTTGCAATATTCAGAAGTCGAGGCTCAATTTTTCAATTGAGCCCAGTGCAGGGCCATGATGGAGGGAAAGGATTGCACTTGTCATTGGAGAAAAAATTATTTGATTTTATTGAAAATTCAAGGAGTCGCTAATTTTTGGAAAAAACTACAAGTGCCCATTTTACTCCACTCGCCCCTTTACTGACTCGATTACGAGGCGAGTCAATAGAATTAAGAGAAAAGGAAGTAAAGGGGAGAAGAGCAGCTTGACACCCAGGTACAGACAGCGGTCATGTTTGAATTGCACTCGTAATTTAATTCATTAAATTTCATCACCAAATCATCACGAGAAGAATTTACCCTTGTATTTATCTTCTTTTTGTAATGTATTCATTTAATATTTATGAAATTCCAATTCAATATTCTGAAATCATTGACAATTTCGCGTGAAATAATTATCTCTCATCGAATGTGAATTGAATTTTAACGATCATTTTTTTAATTATTTATTTGACTGAGTGATATGAATCGTCTTCACGTATATTTTTATTTATTTCTGGCTCATGAGGGAGTGAAACGCAAATGAAATCATTGTCTCGATATTTTATTTTTACAAATTCTCGGGCTGAAGCTGCGAATGTCCGGTTATGCTGTTATTGAGCAGATTAAAATACCAAAATTTCTAGTGATGGACGCAATGAATCAACAGAGATTTAATAACCTGGTAACACATACCTATGGCTATATTTACTTTTGTAAAATATTTTTGTTTAATCGATTAAAGAGAACAAGTCAAGAGTTATTTATTTAATTTATTATATATGAGAGGATAAACAAAATGAGAGAGTTAAGGATACAAAGTAAATTTAAATAAATTCAGATATTAATATATATGATATTTACGTGAAAATGCAAATATATATTATTATACATAAACGGAGAATAAAAATAAAAGTAACAGACAGATATTATTGATTGCAGTTGTATTTGTCAATCATCGAATCCCAAAAATATTCACCTATTATTATTTACCTCGTGATTTATGCAATCGTTTCTATTCATCATTCATCTAATAAATGGAAATAACACAAAAATTCGAGTTTTGCCGAAGTTTTGCGTGCTATTTTCACTCTTTTCAGCGGGGTTTATTTCACCTGTTCAAAGAAAATAAAAAAACTCCGCATAAACCTCCATAACAATCTAAAAACTTACAAATTGTTCTCATTTTTTTAATTCACCTAATTATTCATGAACGGAGAATACAAGTAAAAGTAATAAATAGATATTACTGAAATTATTTATTTGGTCCAGATGTATACCCTCTCGGGTTTTTACATTTTTCCCCTTCCCTTAGTCCCATAAAATATAAAATAGACTTACGAATACAAACATTTTACATGTTAAAGAGAGAAAATGCATATACATTTTACACTTTTACATTTTTACAGCCTAAGATAGATATTACTGATTACAGTGTATTTATCAATCATCAAATCCCAAAAACATTCATCAGTTATTATTTATCTTATAATTCATTCGATCATTCATTTAATAAATTGAAGCAAAAAAGAATTTTAACACAAAAATTCAAGTTTTGCACTCTTTTCAGGGCAGTTTACTCCAGTTATTCGAAGAAAATAAAAACATCATAAACTTCCATAAAAATTCAAAAACAATTACAAACTATTTCATTTTTTTTTTAATTTACCGAATCTTTTCCTCATGACTCAAATTATTATTATTATTACATTTTCGTCAAATCATGAGCCAAAAGATGATTCAGTATGTGGCTATTTCACTCCAAATTCATTTTTGGAAGAATACCGGAAACTGAGAGAATGATCTTTTTATAGCCCTGACGCTTCTACACCGGCAATGAATCTACGAAAATTTCGTCTCTGAATTTAGATATATGTAGGAATTACCTCGAAGTTGAGGTGACGCATGAGGTTTCCCGCTTCGCTTTTGAATGATTGAAAACCCTTTCATGAAAATATTCGAAATTTCTTTCATGGCGTTAGACGTTTAGAAACGCAAGAGTTCAAATAAAGTCGAGGGTACCTTTAGAAACACAATCATCGAAAATCATCGAAATCGGACTTCTCGAAAGGTTGTATTGTTTAAAAATACTTCGATAAGTCATGACAGGGCATGTGTCAACGTATCTTCACGTCCAGTTAATCGAGAATATCTTCGAATCGAGATCCGTTTTCACCGATCGAAGTGAGAGCTGGAAAAATGATTTACACAAAAATCTCTATTTATTTATTTATTTATGCATTCATTCATCTATTTATTTATTTATTTCTTTACTTGTTTATTTGTTTACTCGTGAGTTAATCAATTTATTGCTGTCCACCCATCCAAAAGCATAGATTTTCTAAATTTTTTCCATTGGATTTTAATTTGTTTTGCATTGCAGAATCCGAGTGTAAAAAACTTAAAAATTGATGCTCAAGCATTCTTGTAGAAAAACTCTCAAGAGAAAAATTCAAACAGGAATTCGAAATCTATTGACTTTTTCTTATTAAATATCCAATAGAATCAGCGCAAAAAACAAATAGAATTTTTCAATAGAGATCCTATAGAATTCCAATAGAAATTTCTAGCGAATTCGCTAGGTTTTCTATTGAATTTTTTCATACGTGGAGTCTTGTTTGCACGGAGAGAAATGTTCAGTAAAAATTACGGAACTCACAGTTCGCTCGCCAATTAAGGAATCGACTCAGAAAATTCAAGTGATGGTATCGTAATTTTTCACCGGATATTCAGATAAAAATTACGTAACGCTCTGGAAAAATTCCGTGATTTTCTGTAAAAATTACGTGCCAGTTCCGTAAAATTTCCTACAACCACATTTCGCTCCGCAATTACGGAAAAAATACATCATTTTTACTGAATATTTCTCTCCGTGTAGTAGATTATTTTAATGTATTGTTTTGTCGAGTGTGAGGGTTGCAGACCTAAACGACGCCGAGGAATGCATTCACACGAGTCAGAAAAGTCGTTGTTGGCCGAGTGATGAACATTATTTTTTTTCACAATCAATGTCAAACGCCGTTTACGGACAGTGTGATGAAAAAAAAATCAGAGCTCACCCTGAGTTTTTCATCCGAAGGAGAAGTGTTTTTAAAATGACGTCTTTGGAACGGAGTGAGAGATACAACAGCCGTCTGCACACGAATTTCTGTATCCCCTGTGGAGCCCGAGGTGTTTCCGAAGAGTAGGGTAACTGTAGAGAGAATTTTCTCAATAAAAATTCAACACTGAGAAGAAAAATATAATTCTGTCAATTAAATTTGTTTCAGAAAAGAATTTATAGGGAAATTTTGTTTGGAAATTTCAGACATTTATTTGACTGATTCAACTTTCATTGGCAGAATTATATTTTTTTCACCTTGTAGTGTCAGCACGAGAAAAGGAGCGCAAAGTGCCAGGGAAAAATTACAGTGCTGACGCTGGAAATTTTATTACGTAGCGCGTGACTATTTCTCGTATTGGTATGAAATTTTCACAGAAATCTCCATAAATTTTACCGGAAACAACGGTAGAGTATCATTTTGTGATACTCTACCGTTGTTTCCGATTTTAAAAAAATACAAAAGTGTTTCTGATTTTCAAAAAATACCAAATTTTTGCAAATTTTTAAATAAATTAAAATAACGATTATTGCCATCACATTCATCTTCGACCTCGGTCAAAGGGACATCCAAACAAATTTTTTTAAGGCGTCATTCAATCAATTCAGAATATTTCTTTTAGTTATCTTGGGAATTTTCGACAAAAAATCGAAATAAGAAAAAATTCATCGATGATTTGAATTTTAATTAGTGGCGATCAATAGGGCTTAACAATTAAAAACACATTTAAAAAAACCAATTCCATTTATTCATTACCGAACAATTGAAGAGAAACTTCACCGCACGGTCTAAAAATTGCATTTTCGGACTTTTTGGATCATACTGAGCCGATATAACTCAAAAAATCCAAAACTTAAATTTGAACGATTACAAAGCTTCCATTCGAAAACAAAACAAAGAAAATTAGAGAATCGAAAAAAATTGCATGTTCGAAGCTTCCATTCGGAAGCAAAAATAAAAAATTCTGCACAATTGTCCTGAAATTCGATTCAATTGAAACTCCTAATAGACCGAAACACACGGGGAGAAATATTCAATAAAAATTACGTATCTTTTCCGTAATTCCGGAACGCAATGTGGTTGTAGGAAATTTTACGGAACTGTCACGAAATTTTTAGCTGAATCTCCTGTGAAACATGACGATAACGTCACTCAAATTTTCTGAGTCGATTCCGTAATCGGTGAGCGAACCGTGAGTTCCGTAATTTTAACTGAACATTTCTCTCCGTGCAATCCCCCCACAAAAAAAAACCTGCAGGCAGAAAAATTCTGTTGCCAACTGCGCCAAGCCCCCCATATTACCAAATCCTCCTCACACCCAAAACTCTCCAAAAATGTGTACCGAGAGCAAAAACCTCTCTCAGTGATCCCACCAAAAGTCGACTACTCCACTGAGAGAAAAACAAACACGTTGTCAAACAAGTCTTGTTTGGGCCAACAAAATCGCTAGTTGAAAATTGCCAAAAAAAAATTTGTTTGGTTCGAATGTGAAAGTCTCAAACGTGAATAATTGCTCTGCTTTCGACAGCAACGAAATATTTGCCTCAAGAGGCGGATAATTCATACCAGACGGTGCCTTCTCAGGATGAAAATATCTCATATAGAGGAAAATTTATCAACAAATATTTTATCCCTAAGTTACAAGATTGCTATCATATCATTATTATTGTTTAATTTAAGGGTTCATTTCTTGTCTATGATTATTAGACAGTCGAAACAAGAAACTACGATCCCTGGTTTCGCACAAAACAAAGATTTTTCGGGAGCAAAATCCGTATGGGAGTATCGAATAACGAAGGAGTAGTGCTAGAAATGACATTTCTTGCGTCTACAGAGAACCCAATTTTTTTCAACTACTAAATCTATTTTTGCGACAAAAATTTTTCATTCCGGCGCACTCTCTGCATGTTTGTCACAAAAAAATCCCTTTTTGATAATTTTCAAAAGTCCAAGCCCAAGTCGTTTTTTTTTGACACAAGTGCGACTTGTTTGAGAACTTTATCGTTTTCCTCTCAGTATACCATCAAAAATTCCACCTGCCAACCCCCTGTTCCAGCTCCCCAAATAAACTATTCCCCTCCCCTCAATGAAATTCGTGCCACCACCGCCCGCTAGGACCCGACAAAAGATTCCCCCCCCCCAAAAAAAAA